GAAACCCTACCATCTTTAAATGCCCAAAACCGTAGACAACCCTAAATTGAAACCCTGAAGCCTAACAGGCACCTTCCAAGGTGTTGCTCTTGGGTTCGCGGGATCAGACCTCGGAGTTTCGGAAACCCAAAAATCCGAGTCATGTACGCGCCCAAAAATGGTTTGAATAGGGTTGGGTTTAGGGTTTAGGGTTTAGGGTTTAGTTTTTGATGGCCGAATAGGATTGGGCTAGTTTTGTGTTTTGATGGCCTTTTTCTGCAACGAATCTCCGCAGGGAGCCCCCTGGGGTTAGGGTTTAAGGTTTTTGGGATTTGGGTATAAATGAGGAACCCCCCCAAATGGTATAGGCAAGTTTCAAGGCCCTTATGTTACAAATTCTTTTGGGCTCCTTGACAGGATGTGAAGCCAGGCTTCGTTAAATGGAGGGGCCATATTTTTAAGCACATGTTTCGAAAAAGGATGATAAGCAAGGGTACATTGTAAATCTACCTTTGATCTGCTAGAACCTACCTCTGCTGCAGAAATCTTTGTGCCAACAACTGTCAAAACTCCAAGTAGATTTCGTACGAAACTTAGAGCTTACGAAGAACAACACAAGAGACCCTGCCCATGTTCTCAGGTCGTTTGGGCCGTTTGGGTGTGCGAGTTCGCTTAGGCTTTCGGGACGGGCTTGAACCTAAATGCCTATAAGGGTTGTGTGGCCACACTGTGTGGCCGAGTATCCCGACCCCACAACAAGAGGGCTCACGGTTACGTAAACCCTGTAGGGTTTAGGGTTTAGGGTTTCGTAAAAACCGTATAAGGAGATGATGATGATGACGCCCTTCCCTGAACCCGGGCAGTATCGGGCTTCTGAAAGCCTGAGCGCTTGACAAACAGCTCGCGCCAATGTAACCGATGCGGAGAGCGGTTGTCAGATCCTTCCGCGGCTGCGCAGCACCAAACCCAGGGATGGTAGCTCCGCCGACTGTTTTCTAGCTCTCTAGCCCTGTATCCATATATAATCATGTATAGCACTGTAGGATTCTACAAGCCTGCAGAACGGGGCTTCTATCAGCTAGATGGAGACACCTGGTTGCTGAGCGGCTGCAGCCCTCTCTCCAAGGTTCTTAATGTTCGCATCGCAATGATTATTCTCCTCACTGACAGAGGAGTCTGAGCCAGAAACCCTAAACCCTCCTCGTCACTTTGGTGCTGCAAAGAGAACCGGCCTCTACCTTACGATTGAACTCCTTGAACTGAACGTTGAGTGTTGGATAACGAAACCAACTATACTGTATTGTATAGTGCTATGGTGTGTTGTTATAAACGCCACAAATGAAACAACTCTCAACCCCTTCAGAACGATTTAGGGTCTGCACCGTTCGGCAGTCCTCCAGCAAATCAGCGAAGGAGGCGACCGCATCTTGTGCCCCTGTAAGAGAAAGTCGGGGTCTCACATGCCATTTCCCACTAGCCGCGATTTGCTGCCCTCCCCTCTGCCCGCCGCGCAAAACCGGGAGCCAGTCGGAACCCCGCGTGTTGCAGAAATACGGCGCTGTTCCTCAACTCAAATCCGGAGGAAGTGTAGGCCCTGGCACTCTTGCGTCTGAGGGCTTGGAGTTGGAGCTTAATCGGCCCTTTTGAACATCTAAGCCCCGACCCCAAAAACGTTCAAGCTCCCGCGCAAATGAGTGTGGTGGCATGTACATAAAAAATATACACACATGTATACACACACACACATATATATATATACACACATAATACATATAGGCATATGCACATGCATATGTATATGTATTTGTATATGTATATGTATTTTTATATGTATGTACATACATACATACATACATACATACATACATACATACGTACATACATACACATCAATGTACACATGTACATACAGAGATATGTACATATTTAAACACATGCATGTGTATATACACGTGAGGCAAACCTTCCAGTTTAAGACCCCGAGGCCGAAGAGAAGAGTTCGCTTGTGAAAAACCTGCTCTCGTGGTTCGCAGTGTTGAAGATTAGTCTTATTCTTGCGGCCGGAGAAAAGTTCAGGGCGCTTTGGCAAAGCAGGTTTTTTTTCTAATTTCTGAGACTTTGAGAGCACAGGGGGGGGACCCTTGTACAGAAGCCTCAACAGCAGGATCGATCCTACAGATCCCGTTCTCCGCGACGCGCAAGTTTTGACGAAGCCACCACACACTCCTGGTATAGCCTTACTAGTTAGAATAGGGTTTTGGGGCCAAGTACAGTCTAGAGATAAGGACTCCTGTCATAAACTCGATAAACATCCTGCAACACGTCCCTACTTATGAGCAACTTCGACAGTTCCACGGCTGGCACCTGGTACTGCAGAAAGCTGCAAGAGTAGAGACGAGGAGGTCTGCTCAAGAGCTTCCTGCAACAAGCACATGTCTTGGGCACCATTTAGGGTTTAGGGCTTTAGGGGTTTAGGGTTCCCCCCCACCCCGTAACAGTCTATAATCATGGTACTATAGTGAAGATCTTATATGCCTAGTACGAGAATAAGAGTATTGTTTAATACATGTCAAGAGACCCGACATTCCTAACCCCTGTAGGTGTAGAGCCTCAAACCTTCAACCCTAGACTGAGGAATACATTCTAACCCCTGAAACCCTAAGCCCTAAAACCCTAGCCCCCAAAACCCTGAACCCTAAACGCTCCCCTGAGCTTGAACCGGCACTCACGACTCGGACATGCCAGCCCGAAACGGCTCTCTTTAATTGGTCATCCAAGGCTCATGTTATGGCTAAACTAAAAAGAGCTGCAATGGAGATAATACGTCATAGGTAGCTCGTAGATGCACGTGAATGGTCAAGGCCCTAAACTAAGAAGTCTGAGCCGCAGCTCTAAGTCCTAGGTGTTGCCTCGGGCATTAAGGGATTCGTCAGCCTGTGCTATCAGTGGAGACGAGATTAGATTAACGAGGTCAACACCCAAAATAGCACCAGGGTCGTACAGGATCGCAAGGCCATCTGAGTTTAGGGTTCAGGGTTTAGGTCCTGGTGTTTTGGGCTTTCGCCCCGCACACTCGCACGTCTAGTTCTGGGGGATATGGCTATGGGTCGGGGGTCTTAAGCCTGTTTAGCGTGGCTTCTTGATTGAATGTTCAGGAATTTCGATGCTTCATTTAGGGCTTCGAAGATTCAGGAACTTGTTTTTTCTAGAGCCTTGGACTTATAAGGCTTCCAAAACAGAGAAGCCCTAACACCCGGGTCCAAAGACATCATCTCGGAATCGTATCCGGCGAAGTAAAGTGCGCAGAAGATGTTACGAGCTAGCAGGGAATCTTCAGGACTTTAACTTCAGCTCCCTGCCCTCAAAGTAAACCTATCAGAGACCCTCTCTGTCTCTCGAAGGTGAAAAGCGAGTCCAAGTCTAGACCGCCGGTCAGTAGCCCTGTCTATCATAGTCCCTCATGTTTGATAACCTCGTGGGCTTTTAAACTCCAAGAGACGAAAAGCAAACACTGCTTCGACAGGAGCACCCGCAGTAAGGAAACCCCAAACCCTAGAAGACCCTGTCAATCCCTCATGTAGGGACCTTAACGGCAAAGAGTAGTTTTTGGGAGGGGGGGGGGTGAGGTTTACTATATCTAGAAGAAGGAAACCAGCAAAAAGAAAAAACGAGCATTGGCAATCACGCTGGCCCCTTTCTTTAAATACCCAGCCTGGGCTTTCGCCAAGCCGAAGAGATCTTCCAAAGCTTGCGCTGCATCGACGGGTGGACCTGGGAGGCTGTGGGGTTTCGGGTCCGCGACGGGGCCTCCTAGGGTTTGAGGTTTCTAGGGTTTTAGGGTGTTTAGGGTGTTTAGGGTTTTGATATTTGGGCTTTAGGTTTTTAGGGTTTTAGGCTTTTGAGATTTGGGTTCTAGGGCTTTAGGGCTCCAGGGTTTTTGGATTTTAGGGCTTTAGGTTTTTACGGTTTTTGGATTTGGGTTTAAAGTTTTAGGGTTTTGGGGTTTGGGGTCTCGGGCCTGCAGGTCTGTGTTTGGGTTCCATGATGAGGATCTTACTTACCTGGGCTTTCCAGGGGCTTCTGAAGAATCCAGTAACCGTGGTCTTATTTACCGAAGCTCTGGTTACAGGGTTCTCAGTTCTCAGGTACACCGGGCACGTGGGCACGCTGAGGTGGCTATAGGAAGCCTTCGTTGCACATTTCAGGACAGATGAATACGCCCATACTCATGCATAATAAACAACTTATATATGCACATTTGTGCATGAAGAGAAAGGGGAGCGAGAGAGAGAGAGAGAGAGAAACAAACACAATGCAAGTGTGCGTGACACTCTGCGTGGCTCGATGTCGGGGCCATGGGCAGGCCGCGCCAATAAATCGGAGACGCGACAAGTTCAGGGTCACGGACGGAGTTTTAAGCGAGACAGACTCACTTGCTGAGTTGCGCCACACCGGGATGCATTTTATCAGGTACCCAAAATATCCCGAAACCCTTATTTATCGTACCCCATATCAAACCCTTACAGGAATCCCTTACAGGAAACCTGGTATGAGGAATTGCTTGGGATGTCTTTGAGCTGAGGCTTGGGGCTCTGAGGCTTGGGAGTGTACTAGGAGAGCACCTTGACAGTTCGAACACGCGCACTATTTGTTTTCGCGTTTTCTTGTTTTTTTTTTTGGGGGGGGGCACACTAGTTAGTATGATACTATTGGGAGCTAGTGTTGTTATTCAAGCCTCGATACTACGAGTTACGTAGGACATGAGGCTTACTGTCTCGCCCAAGGGCCTGAGGCTTCGAAGTCTGAAGCTTCCGTGGATTCCCACAAGGTGCTGACTGCCTCTGGGTAGGGAGATGAGGAGAGTGAGCATTCCTCAAGACGACACAGGAACAGTCTTCAAGCACCACAGCAAGCAAATAAAAACACAAGGAGCAGCTGAGGCTGTTCAAGTTGCTACCTGACCAGACCAACCTGTTTCTAGGCTTTGGAATTTGGCGTTCAGGGTTGCAGGGTCTAGGAGTTTAGGGTGCCGTGCCGCAATTGCCGGGTGCAGCCAGCAAGCTCGCGTCCGCGCTCTCGACAGCGGCTTGCTCAGTGGCGCTTGCCTCTGGCATGTCCTTGGCGTGGCCGGGATTGTAAACGTTGTTGCAAATGGACGTCGCTGGCAGTGTTCCACCCTAAACCCTAAACCCTGAACCCTTATAAACCCTGAGCCCTAAACCGTCAGTCTGGGCCCCTTGGAACCCAAAGTGGACAGAATAGCTGTCATTCCCCCAGGGCGATTTGTTCTCAGGAGAGCCCACCCCAGCCCTGAGTGAGCGGCAACCGCAGCTTCAGTAGCGCCCACTTGCGCTGGTGCCTTCCGGCAAGCGGTAGGAAAACGTTCGCAAGACCATGTTGTACAATACGGTCATTACCGGCTGTTGTGAAGAGCTCTAGAATATAGAGGGATTTTATGAGGGTTTCCAAAGAGCTCTGTCTGCAGCTTTAGGCTTCTTTCGCGCTGCAGGTCAAGATTTCGAGTTTTGGGGTTTTGCAATTCCGTTCGATTTGTAGAACAGAGCTAGCAGCTAGCTTCAATGACAGGGGCTTGTAAGTGCCCAAAAACCTCCCCAGTGTCATGTGAGACCCAATCAGATCCCCACAGCTCCTAACCCGCAGGAGCCGTTGCTGAACGGCGGCAATCCGAAAGCGGCTTGGCATGGGATCTCTCTGGGTGGGAATCCCTCCGCATCCTCCAGCTACCGCTGATGCACGAAACCCTGGTTCATTCATCGCACAAACTATGGGAAATCTGGCCTAGTGCTACTGGAGACTGCCTCCCGAGCCTCAACCCTGTAAAGCCCCCCAAGACCATGTCGCATTTTGCCCATCAGTATCTGCGTGTTCGTCCAGCCTGCACTGGCTCGAAGAAACTTTTGTAGTCCGACCTAAGCCGCCCCCGAAAACCCTAAATCCCAATCACGGTGATGCAGGTTAGTCTGTTGAGGAGTGCATAGTTCGGTCTCCGGTTGAGCGTTTAGGCTACATGGGCCAGCAGGGTCAAATCTAAAGCGCTAAGGCCCTAACAGTTTCAAGGGTTGCGTGAGTTAAGATCTGCAGATTTAGGCCTCTCAGCCTTAATGCCTAGGGCCTAGGGTTCAGGCTAAAAGCCCCTGGAAACCCAAAACACACCTATCATGTTGATGAGCACTCTGACAGTTGACTTTCATGATCGTAGAAACCCTGCAAGCCTCCAATTTTCAACACTCTACACATACTTATCGGGGCACCTGAGACCAAAGCCTGGCATTCGGGCGATGTACTGTGGTGGGTGAGATGACGAGGCTTCCTTGACAGCAACCTTGGGTCGTCGAGGGGTTATAGCGTCAAGGTTGTGTTGGGTTTCGGCTTTAGGGTCTTGTTGTGTGCGCAGGCTTCAGGGTTGAGGTTGTTCGGGGATTATTCTGATGCCGATACACCTCAACACAGACCCTTGTAACCAACAAAAGCCCTAAACCCTAAACCCTAAACCAAAAAACACCCAATTCTGCCACCACTTCAGGTCGAAGGGGCTGGAGGATGGCTTTGATGGCTTCTGGATCCACCGGCTCCATCGTCGCGCCTAAAAGGGCGCCACGATGGAAGCGAGGACGCATTCGCAGGGTCTCCGGCTGAAGGGTTCAGGGTAAGGTTGTCTTTGGACCTGTGCAGCTTTTGTGGATGCTTAGGTCGTGCTGTTGCTTGAGGTGCGCCTGGCCATCAGAAAAATCCCTGAGATCCCTCAAGCACGCCAGGTTGCTGTTCGTGGCACCTACTCGCACCGATGACCCCGTAAAGCGGCATGAAGCCCCTTGAATCGCCCTGGGCAGTGGAGAGCTCTGTTCTTCCAAGCAGCTGTGGTCAAATTCCGGCTCCTCCTGCTCACAGCAAGAACAGAAAGAGCAGAGGCCGAAAAGAGCCAAGTCATAACGACAGCAACACATCTCCGAAGTATCAGCAATCAGAACAGGGACCTGCAGTTTAGTCTTCTATAATCTTATGTGTATATATATATATACAGACACACGCACACACACACACACTTACATTGGGACTGGGCCTTTCCGGATGGTGCTCAGCTGGATGCGAAGTGGGGTTTTGCCAGGCATCTTGGTAAGTGTATGCGCCCCTTTCCCTGAATAAGGCTCATGCAAGAAGGGTCTTTTACACGCTTGAAATAGGGATCCGAACTCTTCTGGCCCTTCAAGAAGCGGGGTTTAGTACTCAGGGGACTACATTCGACAGCCTTGATAGCTTTAAGCTCAGACTTGAACCCAGAACCCGGAAACCAAGCCCAAAGGACCCATCCAGCTTTGTGACCCAGCTACAAAGTCTTGCGATTTTGTCGACACCGTTTCTTTTGCCACAGTTCGTAGACTGCTAGCTTGGCAGTCTTAGCCGCCGAAGCCTTACGTTTCGATAGAAGCTCAAAGGAAGGCAAGGGTTCCAGGGGTTAGGGTTCCTGAAAGGGTTCCTTAAAGGGATCTATAGGATCTATAGGGCCTATAGATCCTATAGATCCCTCTAAGGTATACTATAGGGTTTAGGGGCTTTGGGGTTTAGGGGCCTCTCCGCAAGACCCGGCGGATTTTGAAGGGTGGGGGCTCCGAGCACGTCGGCGCTTCAGGGTTTAGGGTTTAGGGGTTTAGGGTTTCGGGTTTAGGGTTTGGGGTTTAGGGTTTAGGGGTTTAGGGTACAGGGTTTATGGCCCCCGAACTCTGCATGTGCCTCCTCCTCTGCAGAGCTGACATCGTCGAAGCCATCCACTTTCCCCTCCTGGCAATGCTGCTGTCGAGACTACGACGACTAAAGCCCCATGGTTTCTTCGTTGTCTCTTTCTGACACAACAACAGAGTTTAGTAACAGTAAGCCGCAGGCAAACACACCTGGCTTGTCGGCCATGCAAGGACATTGGTTGTTTTTTGCCATTTGACCACATCCTCGCTTATTAACGAATGTTGCCGCGGAAGCGACAACGGTGGAATTGTAGTGGCAGCGACATCATGAACGTTATCATCATCATTGTCGTCGTTGGGCCATTGAAGCGGCGACGGCGGAACTGTGGCGGCAGGCACATCATCAACGACACTGTCATCCTTGTTGTTGTTGTGGTAGTTGTTGGTGATGAAGATGTTGATGAGCTGTCATCATTGCTGTCGTTGCCTTCTTCTGTTTTTGACGTTGTTCTGCATCTGGTTCTTGACGTTGGTATTTGTATCATTGAAACAGCTGGTCTTGTTCCTTGCTGTTTTCTTCTGGTGATTCTGTGACCGTCTTTTCCGTCGTCGTTTGTTGCTAATGGCTAGCTGTCGTACTTCATGTTGTTGCTTTTGTTGCGGCGGCTGTGGCATAAGGTGGACCGCTCTCATGCAAAAAACCGGGAGGGGACTGTTGTGGCATGTGAACATATGCATTGTTTACTCCGAGCACTCTACAGCATCACACATGCACTTCACAGCTACTGATTCGGGGAAATACATCCCTTGCTGTAACCGCAGTCAATCACCGAGCTCGATGTATAGTTTGGCATCCCTTTCGTGACAGCCTGCGTGGGTGAACATGGTAGTGGAGGCTTGGCAAACGTCGTGTTGTGCACCCCAGCGTCCGAAGACCAAACTTTAAACCCCACACCCTGAACCCCTAAATCCTAGCCCTGAGCCCGAAGAGTGCCCAGCGAACAAGCGTGAATGAACTCTTCACAGTGGGGCGACAGGAACGCTGTGGTTTTGGGGGGAGCCCGATGCCCGCTGTGGGGATGGACCCCGGTTCGCGCCCGGAGTGCTTCGTCGCTTTCTTCGGCCGGGGGATCCTTGAGCCGCTGGACTGGCGGTCATTGAGTCATGCCGTTCACGTCGGATCCCGATCGTGCCCCACTCCACCCGACCCACCTTGAAGCCCAAACCCCTACAGTAATTGTAGGGATGAAAGCCCGCCTTCAAGGTCATGCGCTTCTGCAGCATCTTCTGCTTGAATCGGTTGGTGATGTCGGCCACCTACCGGCTTCTGAATTTGCCGTGAGGGCTTCAGCATCAGCCAGAGGAGCCCAAACGGTTCGAGTGAAATCCTAAAGCCCCCGTTGCAACCCTGAACCCTGCTCCCCTCGGTGCGCGAAAGTGCCTGGGGCTTCGGGTTCGTGGCTGGCTTTTCGTGTGGGCTTCTGTACACCTAGTTTTGGGTTCCTACCACACAAACTCCAGCGGGACAAGCCTACCTGCACTCAGACGGACGCGGTCAAGCCTTCTACATCCCTAACTCTAGCACTGGTCCGCACAAGATCCGAAGGACAATGATAGGCTATCTTTGCAATACAAAGATAGGGATGCGCTAACGGGTAGTGTAACAGCCTCATCTGGGGGTAGAACGCTATAACGTCTACTGTTGTACTATGTTGTCAATGTTCCCTGTTCATCTCTGATATGTCCTTGGATTCGGGCGCGCCCACGATGTGCAGTTGAAGCATGTTACAGTACTTGCATAATTAACTGTAGCATGTTTATAGTCGTCGACGCACACTGCAAGGCCAATTACACTGCCTTGGTCTCGAGCGGGTTGGAGGCACGCCGCCTGAGCTACTCAAATGTCTTGATCACGGTAGCATCAGGGTTCCTGGAGATTGGAAACTGGTCCGTACAAGTTTTCATGGGGTGTTGATTCGGTGTTGCTGATGATGCCTATATTAGCCGTTTAGATGTGGGGTCGTCCGACTTAGGCTGTGGGACATGGCCTCAGATCGTATCGCTTCGGGCTGGGCTTCTTTGTGCCACCTGCCGTTCTGAACGGTTTTGCCCAAAACCGACGCCATGGGGTCGAGTCATATCCTACTACGCCTAACAGGGTTTGGGGCCATCGGCTACGGGTACCCGTAGCCTAGTCCGAACGATCTGTTTCGCATTGCTGCCAGCACGAAAATCACCATGGTCAGTCTGCAATAGCTTCTGGTTGTACATCAATAACCACTGCTCTTGCTACTGGTTAAGGGCTATTTATTGGGACGCTTGTTGTTGAGACTCACCATTGCACTATTCCGCTTAACTGTTTACCCATGATTGCCATCAGCTTCGCGAGTCTCCGAGGTTTGTCGAAGGAACCACTAATCGATAACAATACTTAGAATGCGATCTGCCTACGAAAATGCACTTACACAAGTTCCTCCCAAAAAGCGTCGGAAATTCTGCCCCAGGAACTCCTAAAGACCTAAAGCCTCTACCTCTTCAGGGACTGATATACGGAAATCATAAAATCGTGAGCCCTTAAGACAGAAGGCTTCATAGGGTCCAGGTCTACTTTGACTTTACACCTGAACTGCTAAACATGTTATCCTCGTACGGTTCTCAGCTCAACGCTGCACGCCTAGACGTTGGACCCAGCCCTTACGAATAGAAGAACAAATGCACGCTTTTCATGCCCCCCCCAAACCACCCCAGACCAGACTGCATATAACAAGCTGTGCTGAACCCCTTACGAGCCCCGGCTAGCTTTGTAGAGCGATGCTGCTCCCTAGACCTTGTATGCACACCTCATAGTGCCCGTGACTATGTAGGCCAGGTGCTCCTGACTTTTCTGGGGTTTGGCTTCTACGACTCAGCCAGAAGCCAAAGTGTCCTTGCTAGTATCCTGAGCCTAGTAACCAACCAGTATATACGAGGTACCGATTTCAACAGCCCCAAATCACTTATGGCTAGGGCAGAAAAGCCCGAAACCCAACTCTCCGGTTCGTCTCTGCTCCCAGAGCACATCCCCCGGATAATGCCCAGCTGAATCTCACGCTGCCGCATCAGAAACCTGAAGCTCAAGTGTTTGCTGAGCGACATTTCAGTGATGAAAAGACAAGTCTCTGAGGTGGCTGTAGCGGATTCTTTTGGGGAAATCTTGAAAACGAGGAGCCCTTCCAGGAGTGTTCAGGTAAATGGGGTCGGGTGTGTCTTGCGCAAGGCTCAGGGTTTCGGCACATGTTTGGAAGGGTGTTTCACGCTGCCGTGGAAACCAGCGTCGTAGGTGCGAACAGCATAGCCTCTTGACCATGACGAATGTAGCAAGAGACCCTAAACCATCAAGCCTTGCGCCACTCATAGCCCTAATAACTCCGTTCCATGGTCCATGGCGCTTGACCCTGGGGGCAAAGAAGGGGTCTGAACCTAGCCTGTCAACCCATGCCCTTTCCTGCTGATCTCAAAGCCAGACTATGCCAAACAAAAGGAAGCCTTGTCACAACTAGAATGGGACTGGGAGATTGGAGTATATTATGCTGTAAATAGTCTTCGGGAGTGGAAGGGAACACCCGGGTTGTTGAGAGAGACGGCCCCCAGGTGGGTTAAAGGGGGGATCATATGGCTCAGACCGTCCAGGGTCTCCAAAAGCACATATGCAAGAGCTAGGATAGGGATATCTCATGAAGCCCAGTAGGGTAGGGGTAGCATGCTTATGCTTAGGTCCCTTTTAGCCGTATATTGGATTACAGCATCCTCCCAGAAGTCCGTGCGCCAAAGCGCTGTCCGCGTTCCATCAGCGAGAGAGGCGTGGAGACGCTGTCGCTTCCTGCGCTGCATACACTTCCCAAGAAGGATTGCGACGATGGGGATCTTACTGTGTCCTCCAATTAAACAAGTTGGGGGCCTGTTCTTGCTGGTGACAATGTCGCGCAGCCTTACAGCCCTGAAGACTACACCCTAAACTTTAAGCCTAAACTTCAGATCCAACAACTGAAACCTTCAAGCCTACACTCGAAGACTCGAAGCCATGATAACCACTGGTCCTGAGAAGACAAGGTCTTTGGAAAAGGACACATCCATGTGCCGCTGGCGCATCCACTTCAAAGGCTTTCCCAGCTCCTCGATCCCCAAAACCGTTACAAGGAGCAAAGATTTCCTGGCTACGATTCGGGGTATTCCGGTGCGAAGCCTTAAGCCCGTTCAAGACCCTTCTAGAGCCATCGTAGAGAACATCTGAGATCTCTGAGACTGACGCCCGTAGCATATAGAAGTTTGAGTGATTGCCAATGCACCCGGGGTTGCGTAGTATATAACCCTTACTACATATTGCACGCATGTGCATATGTGTATGTAAAAATACATATGCACATACAAGAATATCTTCGCTCTCCTCTGGTATACCTCCGGCAGCCTGTTCTTAGGAGTTTGTGGCTTGGACAGGCTCAGGGCTTCAGGAAGCGGCGGTTCGCACAGCGAGCAGGTCGAAAACCTGGTGAGGGGCCTTACTTAGCAGCAGCACAGCAGCAGCAGCAGCATCATCAACAAATCAAACTGATTGCAGCAGCTGCGATGGAAGTGACCGTTGGTGTGGTCGTGGTGGTGCTGGCGGCAGCAGTCATTGTCGCAATCTGCATCTTCAGAACTTCCGAGCGAGAGCTTCTCATGTGGAAAGAACGGATAAACAGAAGGTTGGTGCTGACCCTGCGCAGTCCTTTGCAAAGAACATCATCAGTCCGGTTGGGCGGTGCTTCATCTTCCCCTTCTTCAGGCATTCCTCGATCGCCTGCGTTGCACCACGCCGACCCTGTGAGCTGAACCCTACATCTACTGACATTGGTCTCGGAAGTTTCACACCAACACATTGCTCGACACGTTTGACAATCTCTAACTCTTTTTACGACTGCAAACCATCTTCATAGTCAAGACCGCTGTTATTCTCTAAATCTTCGCTCGGACACTGTAGTGCCACTCTACAAGGCTAAAGCCCCTAACAGCCTCCTCGTAACTCTTGCCAGGAGTCCTCCGAGCCCTCATAGCCTTGGTCGATTATAGATACCTGAAAAAGCACCCTTACATGCCACGTCGTTCCTTCAGCGTCTCAAAAGATCATATGACGTTGGCTCGCATGGTAGCGAGGCACGGGCTGAACAGTGAGGGTTTAGGGTTTAGGGTTTAGTTGGGAAGTGCAGGGCTTCATGGCTTTAACGATTGTCTGTTAGCTGATTGAGCCCCCAAACCCGAACGACAAAGGTCTGTATCTGTCTACCTCTCCATCTATGTACCTGTATAACTCTCTGTGTGTGTGTGTGTACAAAAATGCACATGCCTGTTGATCGATCTATATCTGTACCGTCTACGCCAGCATTCCTAGCAAAACATGAAAACGGCCGAGGCTTCCCAGGGGTTTCAGAGGATGATGCCCATTGGAACCCGAAGCCGAAAGTCCCTGCAGCCTCCTGTATATCTGCATCCCGAACCCATACACATATCTTCACCAACGAAGATTGTTAGGGATAGGGTGTAGCGTTAAAGGTTCAGGTTTGGTTTTAAATATTTTTTGCGGGCTGAGGGGCTTGGTTTTAAACCCAGCAATCTGCGCCGTTTAAGCAGTATTGCGCCTCGCTCTGCGTCAGGCTGCCATCTTTTTGCAGCTCCTCGGCAACCGACTAAACCCTGAAGCCCCTCTATAGTAGACTCTAGACCCTGAACCAGGCTGGAGGGCGCGGAGGAGACAGTGTCCACGTTTCAGCCCGTTCCAGAATTTTGACTGTAAGGCTCTTGCAACTCATACTTTCGGGCTTTCGGCATAAAGAGCACATCACATGGCCCGGAGGCTTTCGACCCGAACATCTCACAATTAGGGTGCATGGGGCTCTCAGTCTGCCCACGGCACACTTCCCCTTCCTCCCCCTTTTCAAGACAAGATACCAAACCTGACTTCAGACACTGCGCACTGGACCTGCTGAGCCTTTTAAGCCGTTCAGGCTTCAGGCTGTCATTAAGGCTCTCGGCAACTTGGGGATTAAGGCTTTCTCGAAGTCGAAACCCTGTCATGTCGGCGGCTGAACCTTTAAAGAATAGGGTGTTGGGGCATGTGTGGTATAACTCGATGTGGACTATCAAGAGATGCGACTTCCATATATGAAATCTATTCCTTTTTGTATGTGGGTTGTGCTCTCAATTAGGGTCCCTTTCAGGCTCCCGCTTATAAGGGTACCGTACTACTTTGGGGACCTAAACCGGGACCCTACTGTAGCAAAACTACCCATATAGTTATCCTTATTAGAAACCCGTATAGATCCATTTAAGGAGCCTAAAGAAGGGACCCTAAATCCTACTGTGGAAAACTACCTATGTGGTCCCAGCTACGCCAGACCGCAGCCTGACTTCGTAGAGCAGGCAGCAAGCCTCGGAGGCATGGTTACGGGTGTTTTTTCGGGCTTCGAGCTTTAGTGTTTAGGGTTTAGGTTTAGAATTTCGGGGTTTAGGGTTTAGGGGTTTAGGTTTAGGGTTTCGGGGTCAGAGGGTTTAGGGGTTTAGGTTTAGGGTTTTGGGGTCAGAGGGTTTAGGGCTTCTAGGGCTTCTAGGGTCAAGTGCTTACCAATGCCGGTAAATGTGATCCCCGGAATGACGGAGGGCCTCAACATGATAGTCAGAAGGTGTCGGAAGAGTCCGTCCGCCCTTGGTGGATGAAGCCCTCCTATCCCCGAAAGGTTGAGTGTGGCTCGCATGGATGTTCGGAAGCGGAGGGATGCCTGCTGAGACCCCTTTCCAGCGAATTTTCTCATCAGCTACTTACTCGGCTTCCTGTCATTAGGACCGTGAGGAAGGATCAGCTTTGACAGTGTAAAGTCCTCACTTAGCCTTCCGAAACATGTTTCCCAAAGAGCTCCAAAGCATAACCCTTTCGACGGGGCCGCTTCGACGGTGAGCCGCCGATACAGGCGGACTTCCTGGCATCTCTGGCGTAAGCTTTGGTTTTGTTCAACCTTAGAACCCCAAACCCTAAGCTCTAAACCCCGAAATCTTAAGCCCTAACCTTTTTGGGTGACCCTGGGCCTGACGGCTGGGGCTCTCGAGCCTTGACAAAAGGCTCTCGATGTTCCACTCAAGACTGCCTTTAAGGCAAGAGAGACTTCAGGATGTAGAGACAATGCCCTCAGTGGTACCCTAAACGTTAATAAACCCCAATTAAAAGGCACTAAAAGCCCTAAACCGGTAACCATTGGTGCCCTGAATCGGTTTGAGCCTGGGAACCCTGATTCCTGAGCCCCCAAAACTATGACCCCAAGAACCTGAAACCCGAATTCCTAACCCCTGAAACCATCACGCCGAACCCTGGCAAACATAAGCCCTCAGTCCGAGAACTCTATAGCCTTCCTTCCTATAACTTACCCTCAAAACCCCAACTCCCAAAGCCCTCAGAGAAAGCGCTGAAGCGCTGCTTCCAAGGCCCGAACCCTTAAGATCCCCGACACAATGACTAACCTCGAAAGCCTTACGTAATCCCACCACCCCAAAATCCCAACTCACGTAAAACTCGCTAAGTCCTAAATGAATCTATAGACTCTCAAACCACCAATCTCCACAGCCTGAAGATCCCCTGGCCCAAGAAGCTTAGCTCTTTCACCTGGGACCCGGCGCCTGTCTTGTCCTGGCTATCTTGAGCTCTTCCTGTCGCTCGACCAGGAGCTTCGACAGCTTCTCCTGAGTTGGGAATGGGTGTATCGGGCTTCATGCTTTAAGGTCAAGGTTTAAGGCTCCAGTTCTAGGGAGATATGGGGCTTAAGTGAATTAAGGGTTGCAGTAGGGTTTAGGCTCGAAAACATTGCGGCTTTGGGTATGTTCTCCAGGGTTTGGACTCATGTAGGGGCCTGAGTATCTGGGCCGAAGGAGGAGTATTGCGAAGTGTCGCGGCCCCAATCGCAATCTTCAACACCGAGGTGCCGGTACTGTACTAAACTACCCAACCCTGTATGCCGCTCCATGAGACCATATTTAAAACAGTTATATAAACATGGATATGAGTGTACATACATATGTATAACATATACACCTCTATATACATACACGCATGCATACATACATGCATACATACATGCATGCATACATACATATAAAAATATGTGAAAGGTCTAGAAGGTCTAGAGTCTAGAGTGTACGTCTTAGGGTTCTACTGCTAGAAAGCCTTGACCCAAGCATGTGGCCTGCTCCCTGACATCGGGCTGCTTTCTGACACTGGATCCAACGTACCCAAAGGTTAATTGCAGGCTCTTATATATATATATATATAGGTGCCAGAAAAGAAGCTGTACTAGGGTTTTCGACTATCGTCCAGCTACTTTACTCAGGAGCCACAAAGGAAAACCACTCAATCTCACCCCGGCTCCCGTAATACTTACTCGCTAAGTCCCACAGAGCTCGATCCCCATAGCCTGGACTATCTAACTGTAGAGGACGCAAAGGGGTTTGGCTTATCAGCCCAGTGTTCCTATGGACGAAAAAGGATAACACTTGGGTGGGACCGTACACCCTTAGACTAGACCGACGTAGATTCCATGACCAGATGCGTGCTCAGAAAACTACCGGAGGAATCACGAATGGCTAAGGCATCTGGGGCTCCGGATCGGGCCTGGATGTACATAACTTTGTCATGGCATTGCTGTGTACATAAGTCATACACCGTCTATTTCTCCGAGCTTTTCGGTTTCAGGGATTCGCGTTCAGGAGTCCGGGTTCCACCTTGTCTTATGCCCGAGTGTCCACGACCACCCGCAGGTGTTGCAGCTGCACCCAGGCGATCCGCTCGTAGAACGCCTTCATCAGATCTTACGGGCCCAGGCTTCGTTCCGAGAACACCCATCTGTTAATCCTTCCTATACCGAGCTTTCCTTCCGAAGTACTATGCCTCAATGAAGCGTCCTAACTATAGGGGCCGAAATATGTTCGGAAGGGGTTTGGTGTATATTGTTTCAAAGTAAAACATCCTAGGAGATGATCTTGGCAACTCTTCAGGCGTCTTGTTTGCACACGAATTAAGGATCCTGGGTCTACCGGACCTGATCCCGGGAGCCATGGAACTTCAACTGCATCAGGGAAAAAACCCAACACACCCCCAACACACTCCGCAAGACCCCTAAACCCTAAGTCCCAACACCCCTAAAGCCCATTCGGGTTATTAGGGTCGAGACGCCACACCCCTGAAGCCGGCAGGCAACCCCCTAAACCCTAAATTGGAGTTCTCTAACTTAGGGTACCTTCTAGGCTGCTGTTTCAACGGTGCCATACCAAAGTGACACTCATTTAGATAACGGCCCAAACTCGGCGACCAGCATAGAGGCCCGGTAAACCTGAACACGAGTCATGGGAACGGCATGATGCCCCAGACATTTCCGGGGCAGCGTCAAACTTTTGACGCTATCACAACTCGGACGGTCCAGGCGACGTCTCAGGCGAAGTCGAAGTGACAACAGAGAGTGTCAAGCTTTTTCAGTTATCACAATGCGGATGTTCAAGTTTTGCGGTTTAGGGTTCTGTTAGGCCATATTATATGCTTTCCTCGAAAACCTTATCCTAAAGTACTGTCCTACAGCAGTCCAGGAAAGCCTTCCGAAACGGAGTGAGATGGAGGACTGCAACACAGACACAGGGCGCTTCACAGCTTCTCCCTTCCGTTGGCCAGTCCTTAGCACTACCCCCTGGGCCTGAAAGAGCCAGAACTCGCCACACGACTTAAAGAGTCTAAGTCTGCAGAGTTCACTGTTTTCGCGCAGCTGGCACTGACACCGAATGGCTTCTTCATGCTCTATGAACCTATGCACATTCGTTCCTTGACTATTTGTCTTTTCCAAAAAACCAGCTTATAGTTCCATATGGAAGGTCAACTATTGGAGGAAGGGTTGGACGAAGGCCTTGCTTCACTCCGTCACCCAAACTCTCTCGTGCACGGGAAAGCCAACGGTTTGCAACGTCCGCATCATCCGAAGTAGAAGCCGACCGGTCGGCCTTCCGTTTTGCCTTGATCAACGATTCCCCTTTTTCCCTTGTACTGGCTAAGTCAGAGGCAGACGCTCCGAAGGCTACCACATCCGCCATCAAACCACCGGCTCCAGATGCGACGCCCCAAGCATTGCGATTTTCAAGCCCGCGTCCAAGCTCTTCGACATGGCCCGCAACGGGGACCTTTCCCCTATCATGCTGGTCCTTTGCCCCATGAAACCAATTGAGTGCGGTGTTCGCAATGCTCGAAGCCGTCCCCCAGTTTTTGGAAGTCCTGGCTGCCTTGACCAACGATTCCCCTTTTTTCCCAGCGCGGACGGCCTTTGCGACCTTCGCAGCGGCTTTGGCAGAGGAATACGCGCCGAAGGATACCACGTCCGCTACCAAACCACCGGCTCCAAATGCGACGTCCCAACGCATCCAAGGTCTCTGAAATTGCCCACAACCGGGACAAAGCTAACAGCTTCACTTACCAAACCGTCGCAAACACTTTCTGCGCCACAGAGCCTTTGAGCAAAGGCAATGAGCAACAGCACGGCAAGGCGCATCATCTTAAGTAGGAAGCCAGACAAGCTGTTTTGACCATCGCAAGGAGCACAAATCAAGACCTCCAACGCATTGTGTAGAATCTTTGCAATGTCCTAGGCTTCGGCTGCCAAGATGACTTGGCAGCTGATGTCTTGAACCGCAGAAATGCGACGGAACGCAAAATCTCGCACGATCCCATCTGCTCCCAAACTCTGACGCATGGGTGAGAAAAAAACAGCAAAAACACCGGCCGGACTGGCATGCCGAGGTGAAGCTCGCAGTCGTTGTCGTGCCAATACTTCACGACATGAGGTGTCAGGTTTGGACAGATGCAAAGGCGACGTCGAATCTGCATATTCAATGAACAATCCAGCTACCATGCCATGCCCCATAAATTGAATAAACCTAGCCTTGCCCATTTCGGGAGTTACATCACCTGAAAAATAGCCTAAGTAAAGTACTTTGACAGTTTTTGGGCTATAGATGGTTGACGGTTATGTAATTACCCAAGCTGGGCGAGGCCCTCTCTAACTTGCAATGAGAGGGGTGCGGAGGGTGCAGGAGGAGGGCTTGGAGTCCTCTGCCACGGACTCCAAGGGCCTTGTTTCTTAGGCGTTTAGGGGTTTAGGGTTTTCATGCTAGGTCTGTAAAATCACTGTATACCGGTAGAGGGTCATCTGATAAATTCTCACTTGTCTCTTCCATTCCTTGTCGTTGAAAGTGCGCAACATGTGGCCAAGCAGCCTCAACCTCGCCCAATATGCCATGATGAACTACAAAATATACTATACTGGAATATATTATGATATAGTATATTATAATATAATATAATACACTATAAGTTACACTATCATATACTATAATCCAAGGAAAACGCAAAGGGGAGCGTGCGAATGCTTATTTTAGCGTCAATTCCCGGACCGCCGTGCTGATCCCCCATGCAATCGGGAACAAAATGCAAGCATCATCCGGGCCTGACGTCGCACCACCCGCTTCTCATAAGCCATCAGCATTGTCTCGTGATTCCTGATGTGTCAAGGAAGAATATGACCCGATCAGTCCTGGTGTCTCTCTCAGTCTCTCCAGGAACCAAAACAACCCGACGTTTTAAGTTGCCGACGTTGGGAGTCGTAGCGCGGGTTCTTGAATGCTATTCGACGACCTAGGGACCTACTTTTTGTAAATCTTGTGGTACGACGCTACAATCTCCCACCTAAACTTAGTTTACTCAGCGACGTCTCTCGCGGAAGCCTCTAATGCAATTGTTCGGGATTTTGCCCGACGAGTTTGAACTGCCCGTGTGGTTTTGGGTAACTGAAAGCCCTTTCGAAGGCCCACTTTCTCTGCAATAGCTTAAGGGTCTATGGTAGGTTCGAGTGGTTGAAGGAGCTACGACCCGAGATATACCCGCTGCCCCAAGGGCATAACAAGATAGCAGGCTTGCATCCCGGACTGAACTCTGGGGTAGAATCCCTTCTTTTTGCGCTTGGCTACAAGCTGCTTTGCTTTGACCCTTGAAGCTCTGGGAGTTCCGGGCTTACCCTATGCTGCCAGTTAACAATGCATGCAGGTGTGGAGTTAAGGGGGCCTGAGGGCTTTGAAGAGATCCGACGTTTCTATCCGTCTGGGTTTACGCGACCCCATGTCTCTTCAATCTCCCTGTCTCTCTCCTGGACTATACCTTGCTACAAGTCCTCCCACTCACCCATAATCAAAATGTTCCTTTGCGCATTTCCGTGAGTCTTCATTCTCACACTTCTTCTCGCAAATACGCATGCACACTGTACTTGCCTGTACCACTACTGGCACCCCTCCCGATTTCAGAGCCTCCAATGCATATCTCTCTGTGGTCTTATGGCTACGCAACCAAGGTAGGTGAACACTGGAACACTTCGGGGTGTGCGGCCTCTCCAGATGCCGGCCACAGAGAACACTCATCCAGTTGGAAATCTCCGTCAACCGCTTCTTGTTGTCCTGGCGACGATCCCTCAAGCTCGAACCCTGAAGATTGAAAAAACACAATCCTAAAGCCCTGAATGCCCAGAACCGATTTATCTGCAGCAGTCGTTGTTGTTGCCGGCTCTACAAGTAGCCAAGAGCTGCCTCCCCTGAACCCCAAACAGAACCCAAAGAGCCCAACATCCTTTGAAAGAGGAATGTTACCTACATCGCAGATGGAAGTTGGAGAACACGCTTAAAAGTATACGGGAACACCCTTTTTTGTAGCAGCAGCAACTGAAGCCCCTTTGTCCAACATGGGCTTCTTTTTTGCACTCGCAATGCCCGCCGGCAGAGAGCAATATTCTTGGTATTGAAGGCTCTGTGGAAAACACGCACCCAAAGACTCCAGGACCCTCGATTTCAGCAATGTCCCTTTGACCACTGCGCGATCTGTAATCTGGCTTCCGTATGGTCCGTTGGTAATTGAGGGAATTTCAGAGTCTCCAGGTCTGGCTCCTTTACACTTTTATCATAATCAGGAACCCTGAGCCCTAAACGCATAGTGTTTGCGATTTTTTAGGGGCGCCCCTTTGTTTAACCGTGAAACCCTCGACTGGCTCACTTGGCACTCGCCGGTGGAGGCCCCAGGGATGCCAGGAGCACCTGCAGTAAGGTCCCTTTAAAATCTAAAGGGGTAAGGGGGTAGGGTTCCCTTTAAGGCTGTTCTTATTCTTCCTATTCGTCTTTCTTTTTGTTATTAAAAGTGCCGTGGTGGAAGGGGGGAGGGTGGCCTCAAGCAGATAGAGGCCCGTCTTTCTAGATTTTGAGGGCTCCTTCTTCTGAAGTCGCAGTCTAAGCCCTTTTAAACATAACCCTTGTCAAGGCTTAAAGCACCTTCTCTCGACACCAAATAGTTACAAAGTTCATCGAACCCGTGAGGAGTCTAGAATCTTCGAGGCCTTTGTCAACTCCTCGACCGAGTCAACCACGACCTCAGCAAGCGGAAGGGGAGCGCATTCGCTTCTGCAAGGGCTTGGTGTTGCGCTGGAGCACTCAAGCTTGTAAAGCTTAGGGCCTAGGGTCTGTAAGTTTTTGGTCCAGTTTTAGGCTTTAGGCTTAGGGCGTCTAGTGACAGGTATTGGGTAGTTGAGTCCCTTGCACCTATCGATAGCTTTCGGAGCAGTCGATCCGATAGACTGCAAGTACCACCCGACTCCCACAACGCGGGGCGGCCCACGATGAAAAACCGTGAATGCTGTGTTCACGCGTGATGCCAATCCACAAACACTACGCCCCAAGCCGCAAACCCTCCCATGAATAGACTGTGCGGCCCTGAACAATCAGCAAGGTCGCTCCTCAGGGCTCCGAATAGCAGTGCCAACGGAAATCGAAGCCGCAGAAATTCTCGGCTCTCAAAAAGAAACGGGTTCTTGAGATTGGAACCGGGTTCATGGATTTTTGAACATCCAATGTTATGTAGGGTGTAACGACTTCGGTATGCAACTTTGTTAGAGCACCCGAGATTGCTGTCAAGTCGTAGAACATCATACCCGAAACCCTAAGCCTCTAAACCCCAAGCCCAAAACCCCTAAACCCTAAACACCCGAACCCCATCTCGAAATCCGAAAATCACGCAAGCCCCGAGCTCTTCAACCCGAGCGACGTCGAAGGTGGCTTCCAGCACCTCGCGGCTAGAGGAGCCCCAGGTCACCTCGGGTTTTTGTTTAGGGCTTCGGGTTTAGGGTTTAGGGCTTACAGGGTTTAGGGATTAGGGCTTGGGGTTTCGACTCACACACTCGCTCACGCGGGCATGGCAGGTTCCGTCTCACATGCTGGGTTGTGGCTGATGCGCTTTCTGTTGATCTACATGCTACCTTGGTGAGTTCATCTGCCACTGCCTGTCAAGTTCAGGTAGCAAGGCTTGGGGGTTCAGGGCTTAGGGCTTAGAGCTTTTTGGGTTTAGGGTTTAGGGTTGGACTATGCATTGAGGACGGGTTGAGGGTTTAGGGTTTGATTATGTGGGAGGAGTGGTTGAGGGTTTAGTGTTTGAGTTACAGTTCAGCTTGGTTCCCTTTGGTCTGCAGCTCTAGTGAGGGTAAAGGGCTTGAGTGTTGCCGAGAGTACAGAGGAGCTGCAGGTCAGCTTGCCGTTGTCACGTCTTGAAGTTTGCACATGGGGATCTTTCACTTAATTTAGGCCTTACGTTTTGGCCGCGTGGGGTCGGGGCATTCACGGGATGATGTGGGACATGTCCTCTAATACTATGGACTCGGGTATGGCATTATCATCACCATCGACGAAGCCACGGCCACGGTTGAAACTGCAATACATCGGAAAAGAGCATGTCACAGCACTGCTGCTGTGGAGGTTAGTTAGTTTAGTCTGCTACTAGCATAATGGGGCTATCATCTCACTGTTCTCATGCACTGCTCCAGCAATGTCTTCTGCTCGATTTTTTCGATCTTGCTATGCTAGGGTCTGTATTTCCCGACAAGTACGAATTTGCTGTGCTGCAAACTACTGTTATACCTCTCGGCAACAGATTCTACTTCCGTGTTAACGGCACTTGATGACGAAAGCCTACTGTAAGACTTCAATCTAATCTAGCAAACCCTAAACACTAAACCCTATAAGAACTAAACCCTAAACCTTAAACCCTAAACCCTATAAGCCCTAAAAGCCCTAAACCCTATAAGCCCTAAGCCCTAAAAACCCTAAACCCGAAACCGTATCTTATCCTGCAAGCAATTCCTGGAGGTCTTGAAAAAAGCCGAGCTACCCCAACGGAAGCCATGCCGGCAGCACGGGCAGCTCGCCCATCGTTGGGCCCATCACCGACCTTAATCAAAGACTGTGCTAGGGGTTTAGGGGTTTGGGGTTTAGAGCTGGAGCTTCGAGGACGAAGAAAGGTAAGAAGAACCGAAAACGCAAAGAAACAAGAGATAGCGCAGAAGGCGGCAGAAGGATGCATACGCTACTGTTAAGGGCTGGGGCGCGGGGTGGATGGAGAATTGAAGAAGGACGGCGGTCGAGGGGAGATCTAGAGAGGAACCTCAGTAAGGTTTTCATGCCTATGGTTACGTACCATGGCCTGCTGTCGCGATCTGTCCCCAGCGTTTCGAAGAACCTGGTTAACGACTGCTGCCTGCCTCATAGCACGACTCGCTTGTCGTCCATTTCAGATTATGGAAGCGAATAATTACAGCAACCTCCGTAATTATGGTTCGAGGAGCATAGATGTACTGGGACGCTTCGAGCTGCCCGAGCTCTGCACAGCACTGGAGCAGTCCGTCGGGCGCAGGCTTTGGCTTCGGAACAGAGTCCGCACCGTGCCGCACAGGGAAGAACCTTCGAAATTCAATTCATGAGATTCGTACATAGAACAACAGAATCGAAGAATTAGTCCGCCAAGGACGAAAAAATACAGCTATTGCTTTGGAGGGTCTTGCAAAGCTTGTTGGCACTGAGCACAGCTTCCACGTACTCTCGTGCAGCATTCGACAAAACACCCATGCTTATGCCTCTCTCGGCCAGGGCCGCAAGTAGATCGGAAAAGCCTGCAAAAAGGGGTACCGTCGTTGGCGTCACGAGGGCCACATAGGTACTGTCGAATAACTTCCCCATCTCCGTGCCAAGTGCGTTGGCGGCAGCCAGGTCGGATTCGGGCGTCTCCGAGAGGCCAGCGTGCCATGCAAGGCGAACAGGGGTGGTGTATTTTGTCCCACGATGATAGTCCTCAACGGTGATTTTGGTGTAGCCAAACTTCTCCAGCACCTTCCAAGGGGCTCTTATCCGTCCCCGTGTTACTAGTTAACCTTACGCAGACAGTCGTGCTCTTTCCCAACCTCGTTGGTAGCGCTGAAGGCTAGGTCCGTCGACTCTACGAGGGTCCCATCCACATCAAGGAGAACTCCTTGCAGTGCCAGCCCACCGGGTGAAAGCACCTTCCTCTGCTGCACTGAGAGTCTGTTGCGAAGTAGCACTGTCGGAGCCGTGTGGGTGGAAGCAGACGCTTCGTTGGGGGTGTGTTGCGATCACCGTGACAAACGTAGCTTCAGTCATTATGCATGGTCCGTGCTGTGGCTTGCTTTTCATTTGCTAGTTCAAGCCGATTCAAGCCGTACATGAAATCAGAAGCAATTGCCAGCTGGGGCTTGATGCTCCCTGACGCGGCTTGAGGAAGCTGTGCCTTCGTATACCATATGTGTAACCCTACTAAAGAATCTTCATGAACACGAAATTTCAGGAAACGACAAATCCCATAGCCCCCTCAACAACAACATCTTACTATTCCCACCACCATCACTCTAGTACTAAGGGTACGACAAATACTACTAGTAGTGCATCTACTAACTACACACGATTCGATTCAATTCGGCACAAGAAGCCCGGCTTGAACTGCAAAGGTTTCCGCACCATCCATACCTGCAGGGAGGCAGTCCGTCTGGCATTTGTCCACTGGAATAGCAGCCGATCGACATTGTGTATAAAGAAAAAATATGTATATATATATGTAGATCTATGTATATGCACATACATATATATATATACATATGTACATATTACACAGCCTACAGATGTATACCATATACCTTATAATGGTAAACCTAGGAATCTGAAACAATTGGCCAAATCCCACGCACCGCCCAACCCGCCTTTTCAACAACTACGCACGAAAAGATATAGCCCTAAACCCTGCGCCCGGAAAATAAGCGTATTATCGAACCCTTCTTTACCCCTTACATGAGCCACCAAAGTAGCATTGCATAGCCCTTTTAGCTAGAACCCTTAGGGAACCCTACGAAGGCCTAACTGACACAGCGCCGTGATGGCGACGGCCAAGAACGCGAGCGCAGATCCGCGAGCGCTCCGAGCAAGGCGAACCATGCAGCTTCGAACGGGGTTTAGATGTACTGAGGGCTTAAAGTTCAGGTCGTTCGGGAATTACAGGGTTTGGGGTATCTGGATGCTAGGGTGTTGCGGGATTGTTTAGGGTTTGCAGTAGGGATTGGGTTCAAATCCACGTGCCTGATGCATATATTGTGATTGAGTCTTGTTCGTACTTGTATGTTTGTTTGCTCAGTTGATCTGTCCGTTTTTCGACATTCTGGTCTCTACGCGCTCTTCGATCAAGTTCGCGTGCTCATGTGGCAGGGGCCCTTTTGCAACTTGGCTCTGAGATTTCAGTCAGCACTGCCGTCTGAGATTCCAAACGTTCGCAGTGACCCTTAAAACCCTAAAATGGGGGTTTCCGAAAATAGGGGACCTTAATATAGAACCCTAAATAGTAGGATCCTTATTATAAGGACCCCAAAATAAGGTACCCCTTATTTTCGGAAACTCCCAAATCGATCTTCATCCCAAACCTTGCAGGTCGCACGGGCTGTCAGAAGAAAGCCTCCACAAGTTCACTTCAAGCGTTTTTGGCCTTAAGGGCTGAAGGCTTGGTTCTGGGGTTTAGGGTTGGATTAGGGTGGGGGAAACCCCTAAACCTTAATTTGCTTACAACTTTCGCACCAATTTCTGCGAACATTGGAGTGTCTGTGGGTCTACGGCCTTGAATACTTTAGAGCCTCATTCCTAGACCTTAATTAAAAATTGCCCTGAACCCTATGTTGTTCCTTAAGCTGATAGCCTGTGGACAAGCCATACATAGCAAACTCTTAAATATTCCAGTAACGAAAAACATACGACATAAGATGTCCCGACCGCGCTCCTTCCGATACCCAGCACTTGCGCATGCTCCCCGAGTTCTCTCAGCAGGCTACCGACTATACCACCCCCAAAGAACGTAAGTCTCGTCATTTCTACGGGACTCTCAACAAACTGTCGAAGCATACATCGCAGGGTCTACGGTCTTTCTGAGAGCCGAATTCCCTGGTCCTCCAAAGTTCAAACTTTCTATTCTGACTTAAAGACTCTATGTAGATAGCAGCATATAATATGGCATATATATATACACATCGCTTCTCTCTCTCTCTCTCTCTCTCTCTCTCTCTCTCCCTCTCCTTCTCTTTCAAGCCCAAACCTCAAGCATTCAGCCCAAACGAGGTCAGGTTGGACACCAGCCTAAATTAAACCCCAAATCCTGCATGCCTACTTATTGTCTGGAGAGCGGTACCTACTAAGATCTCCTTGGAGAGGTTGGAGAGCGCGCCCATCGATCGCTTGAGCACGGTGTTCTCGGTGTGCAGACCTTAAGCACGGGATCCTCCTCGGCCCTAATAAACGGTGTTAACCTTTGAGGATATGTAAGAGCTGTAGCACTCCAAAAGGGCATAGGGTTCGCTACTCTACGACTCAGGCCCCTATGCCTGCTTACAGTCCAGGGGCTTTGGGGTTTCTTCAAATTTCAGGAGCTTGAAAGGTTTGGCCTTTAGGGCTGTGCGAGCGGTATTCTTTCGGGTTTCAGGTTGATACGCTTGAGGGCTCGAAAGTTGAAAAGGCCGACGATCGTAGAGCCTTTATATTTGATGAAGGTCTTGCGTATGACCAGTCTGCCAATAGCAAAATAGATAAGCTTAGGGTTTAGGGTTTTTTTGGGGTTCGGGGTTGAGGATTTAAGGCAAGAAATCGATACTGCGGTCTTGAAGGGGCCTTCTGTGTGTGGACTTCAGAGAGGACTTTTCTTTCTCACCTTCCCAACCCTTCAAAGACCCCAAATGCCCAAAACGCCTTTTAAAGCCCTAAGCTCTACATCCCTTCGCCTAAACCCTAAATCGACCAAGCAACTCTCCATGTCCGCCTGCAGCCGCGTTTCAGCAAGCCGACCTCGGTTAAAAGAAAAGGAGGGCTAGGGTTCAAGTCGTTAGTAGGGATTCGGGGGCTCGTAACCCTTGACCCTAGACCCCAAACCGCTGAACCCTAAACCCCTGAACCCCCGAAGCCTAAACCCCCAAGTTCCTGAGCTCCAGCCCTGCTCTCCTGCCCAGCGACGCCGTGCCGTCAACTTTTCCAGCTGGTCTTGCAGGGCGTCGTTTCCTGGAGCTTTCCCCGGGTGGGGCTCAGGCTTTCGGCTTTGGTGGCTTATAAGGCAAGAGGGTTTTCAGGATTGCTGGCTTGGGTTGACTTAAGAGGCATTTGGAGGGCAGTGCAAGGAGCTGCAGGGTTCTCAAAGAGGGAGCCATCAAACTCTAAACCCCCAACTGTGAACCTTTGATAGTAGACTCTCTGGGTTGTCCAAATTCGATGTCTCTCTCTTTTGGGTTCCCAAACTACAGGCTGCTCTTACGAAGGGTAGAGTTGTGTAGGGTTTCCGCCAAGCTGTGGGACTTCAGGTGTAGGTTTGAGGGAGTTGCGGATACAGACCACAGACCAGCAAAGTGAGCTTCTTAGATCAGCGCCAAGAGCAGCCATACATATGGGTAGTTCTCTAAATTAGGGTCCCTTTTTGGGTCCCGAATATAGTACGGCACCTTTATAAAAAGGATCCTAAAAGGGACCCTAATTTAGAAAACTAACCATATTCAATTTGCCATGTTCCGACTCCGATCGTCTATAGGGCCTCTTAAGCCACAACTATTCCCAAAATGACTCGGAATCTTCCTCCGGCCGCCCTCTTTTTTGGGGCCTGAACGCGGTGCCTCCGAAACTCGCGCTGCAGCCAGGAGGCTCCGCTGCTGGTCAAAGAGGTCGGCTTGGTAGTCGATGTCAGCTTTCCTGTCGATGTAGTGTGGGCTTAGGGTTTAGGGTTTAAGGTTTAGGGTTTATGGGCTTTCTACTGTCGGGTTCACAACGCAGGTTCTCAGCCTCGCCAGGCAGAGTCTAGTCCGTTGATTCGGGCTGAGGAAGCATCATCGGGTTGCCAACAGTCCCTCGCGTCCATGCACTCCTTGCAGCCCTGGAGCATGACCCCGATAAATCGAAACAAACAGAAAACCCTAGTCCCCAAGTCCATGGTTGCTGCATTTGGGCTTGAAGGTCCAGTTGCTCAGGAATCTCTGCGTCGAGGGGCATCGCCAAACTTTCGTTTGTTCAGAGATCTTTCATCTTTATGCGGCCCCGGCAGTGGCAGTGGATGGAAAGATCCTTAGACTGGGTGGTATCTTGCAAAGAGGAGCTGTGAGTTCAATGCACTCAACCCCCCCACACCGCAAACCTCCATGTAAACTACAGAACGTGTCTCCGGAGGATATGGCTCCAGGAAGCCCTCCCTTGCATTCCCTAAGGGTCCATGCACCCAAATTGTATATACTTTAGCCTTGAAGTAGGCCCTATATAGGTACTTTGGGGCCAAAGTATATGCTATTTGGGTACATGGACCCTTAGGGCCTTAGGGATTAGGTAGCTCGTCATGGACGTATGGTGTTGGCCACGTGCGACGAAAGTTACAATCCCGGACTCGGAGGCCCGTTGAACTTGAACTTCGATGATCTTCCGTGCAAAAATCATATACTAGGCAGAACGGCAAAGACTCTTTTGGAGCTAGCCAAAGGCCGCTTCAATCCTGCAGATTTCAGGGTGCCCCAGACTAGGCCTGAGGTGGTTGTGCTGAGCCGTGAAGTCTGCAATGTCGGCCGCGAGGGCCCTCGGAAACCAGTGTTGGGGCTCAGACCCTGAACTAGGGTTTCGACTCACGCACTCGCTCAAAGCTGGCATGGCGTTCGACGGTCTCAGCTGATTTAGGGTTTAGGGTGACCATAGCATCGTCATGCAGACAACCCGAAGCCGCAAATTGCCGGGCCTCAGCATCTTGGGTTGCCAGACCCTAAATGCTGCACCGTAGACCCGAGAGTCCGACAGAAACCTTAAATCCTTCGCCCCTGGAGAGAGGTCGAATGCTTCAAGCGTCGATCAGATCAGTTCCTTGATTCGAGCGGTTCATGGCTTCCAGGCCCCAGAAAGACTCACACACACCCTTATGTACGATGAGAGTTGGAAGTGAAACACCTTTAAAGGCAGAATGCAACTGCCTGACCCCTACAGCCATAGAAGGCCCACTTACCGATGTTGCGGGTTACTGTCTCCAAACCCTGTAGAAGCCCTGTGGCTCATAACCCCACAGGCGGGTAAAAATACAAACCCTAAAGCATAGGTCTAAACCCGGAAGCATGACTGACCCTTATATATGGGAGTCTCAAAAGAAGGGGGGGGGGCCTTAAATGACAGCGCTCTTGGTATAAGAGCCCGGAAAGAAGAGTGCCCCCTTCACGTCCTCTACAACATACATGACTCAACCTTATCACGCTACAGTAGACCCTGGCCAATAAACCCTAACACCCTTCTGTTAAGCATCTCAGTATCTGCAGAGGCAAAGCCAAGACGCCCCAGCTCCGTTCGGGCGACGTCCAAGAACCTGAGGCTCAAAGGGGCGTCACCATGGGATCGGAGGTTAAATAATGGGACCTGAAGAACTAGAGTAGGCTCTATGCAGTGTTACAAGGTTCGTACTGGCTTTAGGGGACAATAGAGACTTCTCGCGCACATGTAGAATAAGGACTACAACGCACATTAATGCTACTCACTAAAATGCTAAGATGCTGCATGACTAGGGATCGTTTCGGGATGAGGGAGGATTCCACGTCGGGTTTATGGTTCCAGGCTCCGCAGTTTGGTTTCTGAGTTGGTTCAATCCAAGCTGAAGTTCCGACAGGCCCATGTAACCGATGAGCTTTTCGGCAGGCCTCCACGAGAAAAGCTGCATCAGCACTGCCCCAACTCGCAGCTCACTGCCTTAAAACCCTAAGCCACCAAGCTGCTTCCCTTTTTGAAACGGCACTGTGACAAGGGCCGATGTGGACTACGCCCCAACACATAGCCGCAACCAAAACATCCGAAAGCCGGAACGTGTAAACACGAAACTCTACAGCGAAGCGTGAAAACGTGACCGCTCGGATGCCCAACATAAAGCCTAAACACCCCTTTCCCCTACACACACCCCCAATTTC